CCTACTTGTTTGGCCCACGTGTGAGGCATCACAATCATTACAGTTAATTTTATAAACTACGTTACTAGTAGATGGTTTCGGTAAACAGTCTTTATACACCTTAATAAACTGATGCAGTTTATTGAGGCTGAAATACGATGGTCTGACGTCGAGGTCTTTAACAATATTTTTGAATTGTTCGGATATAGACGGAACAAACGAAATTGTAAAATATTTGAAATTTTTATTTTCATCATTTTTAATTTCGTTGGACAAGTCTTGTTTAATAGTTTTTGGGTTATTTATTAGGTGTACAAATAAGTTTCCGTCGTTTGACAAAAGTTGGCGCCACCAGTAAGTTATGGTTAAAATTGTCAGATGTAAAACGTCCTTATCGTAAGATTGGACATCAGTCAATAACATAACCTTAAAATATTAGTGATTTTTTATCAGTATAATATATTCTTTTGTGTGCGAAAATGTCGAGTTTTGAGCCGAATAAGCGTCATTTGCGGGAACTTTTGATTTACTTCTTCAATTTGAAGAAATCTGCAGCTGAGGCGTATCGATTGCTTGTAGGAGCATATGGTGAGGCTGCCTTAAGTGAGAGAAGTTGTCGTGAGTGGTTTCAAAAGTTTAAGAACGGTGAATTTGACATCGAAGACAAAGAACGTAGCGGAAGGCCGAAAGTGTATGAAGACGCGGAATTGGAAGCATTATTGGATCAAGATTCGTGCCAAACGCAAGAAGAACTTGCACTTACATTGGGAGTGACTATACAAGCAATTTCACATCGGTTGAAATTATTGGGATTGATTCAAAAACAAGGAAATTGGGTTCCATATGAACTGACGCCGAGAAACGTTGAACGCCGATTGTTCACATGTGAAATGCTGCTTGCCAGGCATAAACGAAAGGGTTTTCTGCACCGTATAGTCACTGGTGATGAAAAATGGATCCACTATGATAATCCAAAAAGGAAGAAATCATGGGGACCACCTGGCCATGCTTCAACATCTACAGCTAAACCTAATATTCATGGAAAAAAACTCTTGTTATTCATTTGGTGGGATCAGCTTGGTGTCGTGTATTATGAGTTGCTCAAACCGAACGAAAGCATTACTGGGGCTGTCTACCGAACAGAATTGATGAGATTGAGTCGAGCACTCAAGGAAAAGCGCGCCCACTACTCCAGACACGACAAAGTTATTCTCCTGCATGATAATGCTCGTCCACATGTTGCGGCGCCGGTCAAAACCTATTTGGAAACACTCAGTTGGGAAGTTTTACCCCAGCCGCCGTATTCACCAGACATTGCTCTTTCTGATTTCCACATGTTTAGATCGATGGCGCATGGCCTGTCTGAGCAACACTTCACATCATATGAAGATACCAAAAATTGGGTCGATTCGTGGATAGCCTCAAAAGATGAAGCATTCTTCCGACGCGGTATCCGTATGCTGCCAGAAAGATGGGAAAAAGTAGTGGCAAGCGATGGACAATACTTCAAATAAAACATTAGGTTCCGTTCTTTCACAATAAATGCCCAATTTTTGATAAAAAACGGCGGAAACTTATTTGTACACCTAATATATTTTTACTGTAAATTTTTCCGAAAACCTTATTCATTTTTCAAATATTTTTTTAAATGTTATTCAATACTGTTATTATATTGTTATGCTGTTATTGATCCATTTGATTATATAAATTAACTAATATAGCATTATATTTTGTATCAAGTGATCATACGAATATAATACGATGATCACACGATTTATCCCTAGTTGTTAATTTTGAAAAATTAAACTGATAAAAAAATATAAGTGACATAGATAAGAAAAACATTGCTGTAATAAGAATTAGTGACAAATGATAAATACATGTAAATAATATATGTAAATACATTAATTTTGCTTTAGAGCTTTAAAAGTGATGCAAACCTGAAACAAAGAGTAGAAGAGAAAATTTTAAAAATAAAAAGGAATCAAAATGGAAATGAAGAAACCGATAACATATCAGATAAAAATGGAGAATATAGAAAAGATAAAAAAAGATGTGCTCATAACTCACAAAAAAAAATGAAAAAAGGAATATTACTGAAAAAACTGATTAAAAAAAAGTGAGTAATAATCAAGAATACAAATATGAATTATACACGCACACGCATGCGCGCGCACACATACATAAAGGGCTGACTCTAAAACACCACATTGGTATATTAAATTCATGCTTATTTTATTGAAATTTTTGATTAAGGAGATTTCTATTCGGGCTTTTACCAAAATAAATGTCTTTTTTTAAATGTCAATCGTAATGATAATAACAGACGCGTTCTTGACATTCTGGCATTTAAATTTAAAAAAAAGTTTAAAAATATCTATTTTCTGAAGAGTTATTAATAGTTGAAAGTAGCTGGATGCAGTAAACCCAGTGTGATGGAATCGGAACTCGCAAGAAGTGTGGTATTCTAGGCGGGTTAGTTTGCATCGTGTACACAATTCTTTAATTCATTGATGTAATGCGTTTAGGGAATTAAAAATAAGAATAAAATTAAAAATAAAGACAAGATAAAAAATAAAAGTGAGAGGAAAAATAAAGAATTGAATGATTCAAGAATCTTTGGAGAGGGAAATTATCAAACCTCTCCTAAAAATCTAATTAATTCAAAAACCCTCGAAGAGAGAAATTACCAATCCTCTCAAGAAGGGAATAATTCTAGGATTTCGGAGGGAAGTTTCCAAACCTTGTCAGAAAATCCCAGCTCTGTCGATTACGAGGAGGAAAATTACCAAACCTCACTACGTATTTCGGCAAAATCTTATTCCAAAAAGGGCAGAAATCCTTTATCCTCCCTAGATATCAAATTTCCTAAGGTTGGATTATTTAAAGAAGAAAATGATAATGAATTAAAAATCTCTCATGTTACAATAAAAGATCTCCTTGAAGAGGCTCAAAAAGTATAATTTAAAAATTAAAAATTCGAATCTACGAAATATTAAAAATAAAAATAAACCGTCTTCAAAAATCCTTATTGTGTCAACCTTTGCCCTATGCAGATTTTCGATGGGTCGACGACGTATCCGATTTTGATACGTCATTGATCGCGCTCGATTCGCCTATAGGCTACATCCTCAAAGTCGATCTCGAGTATCCGCAACATGTTCACGATGCGCACACTGATCTACCGTTATGCCCGACACGCGACAAACCACTTGGTAAGCGGCAGGATATGCTGCTCACAATCTTATATGATAAGAAGCATTACGTAATACATTACCGCAACCTGCAGCGACACGGACTTCGCGTTATAAAAATACATCGAATATTATAGTTTTTGCAATCTTCATGGCTTCGCAGTTATATTGAACTCAATACACAATTCCGAACACTTGCGAAAAATGATTTTGAAAAAAATTTATATAAATTAATGAATAATGCGGTATTTGGCAAAACGATGGAAAATGTGCGCAATCACGTTAATATTAAGCTCGTGACACATTGGGATGGAAGATATGGCGCAGAGGCGATGATCGCAAAACCAAATTTTCATAGTAGAAGCGTGTTCTCGGAGAATCTGATCGCCGTTGAATTGCGCAATCTCGAGGTGAAATTTAATAAACCAATCTACGTGGGTATGTATATACTCGACATATCTAAGACATGTTTGTACGAGTTTCACCACGATTATATGGTACCTATGTATCGAGAGAAATGTAAAGTCATGTACACCGACACCGACAGTCTCATATATCACATAGAGTGTGACGATGTATATGAGAATATAAAGCGCAACGTCGACAGATTCGATACCAGCGATTATGCGATGGACAATGTGTACGGTATACCGCTTGCGAATAAAAAGATACCGGGTTTAATGAAGGATGAAAATAATGGCGCCATCATGACCGAATTCGTCGGGCTTAGGGCAAAAATGTACGCGTTGCAAGTAGATGGTAAGAAAGACACAAAAAAAGTAAAATTCGTCAAGAGTAACGTCGTCGCGAGAACGATAACGTTCGACAATTACACGCGGTGTTTGAACGAAGAGATTGAAAAGACGCGTCAGCAATCTTGTATAAGATCTGAATTACACGAAGTATACACCATCCGCGAGACAAAAATTGCAATAAGTCCGTACGATGACAAGCGGTATATCGTACCCGAAACCATCGACACGCTACCGTGGGGACATTATAAAATACCGTTGTAAATAAAAAGCATGTATATTGATTGTAAATAAAAATTATGTTTATTTATTGTACATTAAAATTATATGTATATTTATTGTAAATTATATGTATATTTTATAAAGCTTACAATTTTGTTTATATTTGTAAAATATTATTATGTATTATTGTTAACATATTTATAATATATTATTTTTATGTATCCA